GGGGTGGAACCTTTGCTCTATGGGGTCACTTAATTCTTCCCTTTCCTCCTTAGGCTCTTCTTTTGTCTCATCTAGTTGGAGGAGGAACAATTGTCGGGCCTTGCACTGAATACGAATTTTTTGTCCCAATTGTAACATAGGCCCTTATCCCTATAGGCCTGCATCACGACCCAAGTCAACCTCTTAAGGGGCAAGGTAGTTAAACCAATGGTTTTACTAGCCCCTGGTTCAAATTGGGTGGAGGTGTTTTAGGTGAAGGGACTGTGTCCAACTTGGTTGGTAGGCCTAGGATTGTCTCGAGTGTTGGACCAATGGGCCAAATGGATTTCTTAGAGGGTTGTATTGCCTTCACTTCCAACTCAATATCATCTCTGAGTCCCCCCACAAAGTAACCGTTAAGAGTCTTCTCTAGCCACCTCTGAACCCTCAATGCCAATCTTTCAAATTGGTTTTGGTATTCCCTCACAAAGCCAATCTATTTTAATTTGGAAAGGGCTTCATCAAAGTCCTAGAACCCAAAAGGGTCAAATTGGATGGTAAGTACCTCAATGAAATCCAATCATGTAAGTTGGGTGAGATTTCCGATACCATTGGTACAAGAGGTTGGCTTCTCCTTCCAAGTGAATCAAGGCAATTGACAACCTCTAAGAAATCAAAACTTCCATGGAATTCAAAATATTGCTCAACACAATAAATCTAGGGAACATGGTCCTCACCTAAGAAGATTGGAAAATTAATCTTAATTGTTCGATCGGGGTAAATGTTGGACAATCTATGGCTAACAATGCTCAATCCTTCCTGGTCTTCTACCCGTCCAATTGCAACTATCATGTTGGGAGACAAGCAAAGAACGCCACTCTAATCTCCTTCAAATCCCCGCTCATTGTGTGCAAGTATACTTCCAAGCGATCTACTCGATCAACTACAAGCTCAATCTGGTATTAATCATACCAAATATTGCTTTGATACCAATTGATACAATCTATTACAATTTGATCAAATGAGCTTCTTCAAGGGACTTCTTCCTAAAATGTAGAGTTATAAGAGAACAAGAAGAAAGGAGAAGAAAGAGAGAAAGGAAGAGGGAGAGAGGAGAAACTGTAATTTTCCTTATTCCTTCAAATCGTATGGTATTTATATCCCACAGCATCAGGCATTTCATGCCAATTTCATGCAGGGACCGCATTTAGTTATGTTAACATGGCTTCCTTGTAGAAACTCGATTGGGGGTGTGACATGGGCTTAGGCCTTGTGAGTTTGAGGCTTATTTGAGTACAGGCTTGGGTCTCTAATAATAATGAAGTCATTTAAAGGAAGTTGGGAGTAACTCCAATAGGTGACAAAAATAGAGAAAGTAGATAAGACCATCTAACCAACCCATATAGTTGGGACAAGGTTTAGTTAATGACGATGATGATGACCAACCAACCTCTCATACATTTTTTTATCAATAACATATTTCATTAATTAATCAGAAAAATATTTACAAAGGGGAAGATAAAACTTTCTTATCTTCCAGCTGAGGCTTGAGCCCCCAAGAAAGGAAAAAAGAGTTACAACTGAGCTCAAAGCAAAGAATCCCTCTCCACCCCTTGTTTAGCTAACCCATCAGCAAAAGAGTTAGTTGATCTTTTCACCCAACTGATCTTGACTTCCATCTCTTGAACCAGCCACCTAAATGTCCTCCTCTCATTGCTGTAATTCCATAACCCACTGTTGTCTTTATTCAGCCACCCTACCACCACCTCCAAGTCCCCTTCAATTGGGCCTGAGAACAAGGCTGAAACAATCCCATTCTCATCCCTAAACACACCCCCAGTCTCCGAGTGTCCAGGATTCCCTCTAATACTCCCATCAAAGTTTAGTTTTAAGAAACCAGCTGGTTCACAGATTGCACATTTGAAGGAGGTAACATTGTTTTCTAGAGGAGCAAGAAGAAATTTGTAGCCATAATATAGAACCTAAGTACAAGCTACGGCCCATGAGGTGCCAAAACACCTATGGTTGAAGACCTTGTTAGGTGAGTTGGGCATCATCTTCATCATCTTTAACAGTCTGACAAAGCTCTACTATGATAGCCAGGCAACTATCAATATTGAATACAATCCAAGTCAACATGGCAACACCAAAAATATAGAGGTTGGCAGACATTTCATTACAGAATGTATAGCAAGTAGAGAATTGCACTTACCGTTTGTTAAAGCTGAGTTTCAGTTGGCCAACATTCTGATAAGGCCACTGTTAAGTCTAAACTAAAAGATAACCTATGCAAGCCAGGCACGTAAAACGTTTATCTCAACTCGTGGGGGAGTATTGAGAAGTTAATTACTATGTAATGCAGGGCTAGTAAGGTCATTATGTAATCATGGCAATGCTTGTAACTTCATCATTAATATAAAACCAAATGACCGATGTGGGCCTTAGCACAATTCCTTCTCTTTTCTCTTCTCTCTTCTTCCCCTCAATATATTATATTGAAAGCCCATAGGAACAAAAAAGGAGCATCTGAACCTATACAGTGAAAAACATTACACAGTGAGACCAAAAAAGAATAAAAAAAAGGGAAAGAAAGCCATATGAGAAAGGACCAAGTTACACCCCAAAAGAACAGAGACCAGAAAGGAAAGAAAAGACAGGTATGACTTTGAAAGCAAAGCCCATCAACATCCAAGAACAGAAGTGCCCAACGTCTTTCCTCAAAATCTGATGTTTTTTTTATCAGTTTCCTCAAAATCTGATGTTCTTAAGCCTTTACCTTCAAAGCTTCTTTAATTTATTTCCACCCAAATTGACCAGATTACAACTGCTGGAATGGAAAGCCAAATAACTTCACTTCTTCTATTCAAACGTTTCATCCAACAAGTTTCCAACAATTGCTGAAACTTGGGAAAGCCCAGTAAACATTCAAAGACTTGGAGAAATGGCTCCAAATTTTACATGAGAGTGCAGTGTGCAAATAAAAGTTCAATGACTTAAACTGGATCTGATTCAAAGTCATACAAATAGATACCGTTTAAGGTCAGAAGTCCAGTAACTGACTACAATATCATTCTGCTTCTCATCTGACAGAGTATTGTTGTCCAAAACCCAGAAATACAGGTTCAAATGGCACCCAACAACAAAAGAAAAACAGAGATGAAGAGAAGAGAACAGAGAGAACACACAGATTTACGTGGTTCAGCTTATAGCCCATGTCCACAGGTGAAGGAGCAGAAATAGGGCTAGCAATCTTGACCCCAACCCATTTGACCCAGCCAATCTATTGGCGGGTCAATATGGGTCAAGTAACCCATTAGGGTCAGTGGAAAAGGGTCAGGGTGGGTTGGGTCGAGGGTACCCATTAGGTTTAGGATGGGTTGGGTCGCATAGGTCAGGATGGGTTGGGTCAAAGTCAGCTCTATCTATACTTGCCAGATCCCAAAAAACAGCAGTTGAACTTACTTGAACTCAGACCTCCTAACCCGTCTACATCTCATTACAATTCCAAACCACCACGCCACATTTCATTTTGAGATTAAAAGTGAAATAAAATGGATTTTATTAACTTCCGTGTTCACATGCAATTTTACACAAAAGCACTTCAACAAAAACAATTTTATAAAGTAATTTTATGAAAAGGACTTTTACGAAAGCATTTTACAAAAGTACTTTAAAATGAAAGCACTTTTATAAAAAGTACTTTTACATGAAAGCACATTTATAAAAGTAATTTTACGAAAGTACTTTTACAAAAGCACTTTTACATGAAAATACTTTTACAAAAACATTTACTTTTACACGAAAGCACTTTTACGACAGTACTTTTATGAAAGCACTTTTACGGAAGTACTTTTATAGAAGTACTTTTATCAAAGTACTTTTGCGAAATCACTTTTATAATTTTTGGTATTCTCTGCAATTTTTAGTTTTTTTTTGCATTTTTCGTAATTTTCTGGTGTTTTTTGTATTTTTCTGCAACTTTTTAGTATTTTTTGCACTTTCTGCAATTTTCTACTATTTTCTGCATTTATCTACACTTTTTGCATTTTCGGGTATACAGGCTTACCTAACTCATTTTTGTCACGTGGCAGTCTTGAGAGAGATTATTCTCTCAAAAGTTATTATTTTGGGTATACAGGCCATCCCGACCCATTTTTTGTATTTATAGGTGAGGGTAGGTGGGTTAGTATGGGTGAGGGTGGTTAAGGGTCAATATGGATGGGTTAAGTGGGTCGGGTGGGTCAGGGAGGGGTTAGGGTTAGGGTGGGTTATGACCCTTTAACAAGGACTGATGATGGGTCATGGTGGGTTGGTGGGTCAATATGGATGGGTTGGTATTCAACCCTTACCCAACCCAACCCACCCATTTGCCACCCCTGCAGAAATCCACTTTGTAGTCAACAATGGTGAAGAATACAAAGTTGTGCACACACAACCTCACTCACAAAAAAACCTAAACCCCAAATACACCCAAATAGCTCGACTTCTCTCTCAAGCCAAAAACTAGTAGACAAGAGAAAACCCCAAATCCATAACTCTTCGTATTCGGGCCGAGCCCATGAGCTGCATATGGATCAGGTACCCAAAAAAAAAAAAGTTGTGCTTCCACCACAAACCACTATGAAATTTTGCCTTTGGATTTTTCTCAACTTAATTCAGAGACGGTCATGAAGAGGGTCACGACAAATAATTCGAGGCACAAACATAACAAGTATGATAAAGCCCATAATATTGATTATCCCCAACCTAAAAGCAGCTGCCAGTTGCTTTAATTGAACAAGAAACCAAAGGTGTTTCCCAAGTCATGAAATAATGATAAAATCCTTCTATAAAATGCTGGGAAAAATCCTGAAAGTTGTATTACTACGGAGAAATTTTTATCAGTATTTCAATGTAAAAGTAATATAAAAACTTGATATCTAATGGCTTCTTCAATAAATTCTATCTCCCATGACTATTAGAGTATCAATAGTAGTAAAATCATAAAGACAGAAAATACATGTACATCCATATGCACTCACCACATGAGCCCCAATAGGACCAATTGGGGGCCTTCTGAATTTTTTATGGTGTCTCTCAATTGCACGTAAGAGATAGCTTACTCTCTCTCCTCCAAAAGCTGTTACCTGTTGAGACAGGAAATGATGTCATACATCCAAGATGATAAATGTGCATAAGAAAATTCTGCTAAATACAACCATATGACATTCTAGCCTTCAGAGACATAACAATAGACATATGGTGGACCTAGTGGAAATTAAGAAGGGATAATGAGGCCCAGTTAAGGTTGGCTAAATCTCAAATCCAAGACCTTAAAGTTCACTAATCATGATAAAGATGTCAAGATCAACATGGAAAAGACAGGTCTAGTCAAGTAGAGGCAGCTTTGGGATGAGAAATGCCATCCTGCATGGACATGGGTGGAGTGGCTAAGTCGGGGCAACAAATAGGTACCCCAGTACACATGCATCCATGTTTCATGTAATGATCCTATAAGAAAGTCCGGCTGATGTACCCTCAAGAATATATCTCAAACTGAAGACTGACTTTAAAGAGTTCACCTACCTAACAATTACATCAGTACCTTGTTTGTTTTATGCTGCTCAAGTTCACAAATTTGAGAACGTATTTCACGAAACTTTTTCTCATTATAATCGATCTGAAACATCAAGAAACAAATCAGTTAAAATATAAGCAAGATTGAGCAAAGTGAAACTTTTAGATTCCCACCATTATCTTGTTAAAACCAAGAACATAAGACCAATTTTAAAATTATTCAACTGAGCTTACAACCAAAAAAATAATGTTTATGCAACTAGGTAAAAAAGAAAGAAAGTTGAACATAAAAAGAGACTAACTAGTGGAAACAAAAACAAAAGGAACAAAATTGAAATATCAAATCTAGAAGCTGGCATTGATAAATTTTTGAGAAGCTAACGAGACGCTTATGGATTCTATGAGACAAGCACTCAAAAACCAAGATTAAATTCATATGAATTCTATGAGACATTCATAAATTTTATGAAGCCCAATGATTAAATTCATATGCAAGCACTCAAAAACCAACTCAAGAAGCATGAATAAATGCTAAGCTCTACAGAAGTCACTCAACCTCTAATTCCAGGTTCCTAAAACCCATTGTTTTGTCAAAAATCAAAAACCATTGACTTGGTCAGAACCCATTTGACTAAAATTATCCAACTTTTATGAAAGTAGATTATTTAGACTACTAATATATCATTGAATATTAAACAGATTATAAATTATAATTAAACAGAATATATTTTATTGTGAAGTAAATAATTGCTATATTAATTTAAGGGTAAAATACAAAAACCTCCCCTGAAGTTTCTGACAATCATAAAAACCTCCCCTATCGTTTCATTTTAACAAATATCTCCCCTGAACTTTTGAGAAACTCAACAAAAACCTTCCTTCCGTAACTGTCCTAGACGGAAAACGTTAGATTGATGCACCAGTTTTTTTCCAAATATCCATTCTACCTTTTTATAAATTATTTTACATACAAAATTACTGAAATAATCCCATTTTAACTCAACAAAAAAACATATTTCGGTAATTTTGTATGTAAAATTACTCAAATGATCGTTAAAAGAGGTTTTTATTGAGTTAAAATGGGGTTATTTCAATAATTTTGTATGTAAAATAATTTATAAAAGGTTAGAATGGGTATTTGGAAAAAACTGGTGCATCAATCTAACGTTTTCCGTCTGGGACAATGACGAAAGGGAGGTTTTTGTTGAGTTTCTCAAATGTTCAGGGGAGATATTTGTTAAAATGAAACAATAGGGGAGGCTCTTATGATTGTAAGAAACTTCAGGGGAGGTTTTTGTATTTTACCCATTAAATTAAGTTAATTATGTTATAAATTGTAATGATAGGATTTGAATTTTTAATAATCTTTATAATTTAATTTCAATATACATAAGGTATATAAAATTATAGTTAAATTGAAATGGATAAAGATATAGATAGAGTTGATGAATGTTAGGCAATTTAATGGAGTAATTGAGAGGAGAAAGAATTACTTGCATGGGTTATTGGAGGATAAAGAGTTAATAGCATAATTAATGAGGAAGGATAACTAAAGAAGTTAAGGAAAAAGAGAGAGAGAGGGAGTTAATAGTGAGTTAATGAGGAGAGATAAAATTCTTAAAGGTGATTGGCTGAAAAATTCCAAAAAAAAAACAGAGCAGAAGGTTGACAACTCAGATCATTCCATTTTAATATACAGATATAGATAAGTGGTTGATCAAATGTTGGCTAGTCAAAACATTTTGAATGCAGATCCACAGGCTCATCTTTAATCTTAGATTTCCATCTACTTTTCATCTTTTGCTCCCCCAACATATTAGTACTTTATATTGCATCAGAATGACAAAGTCGAAAGAAAAAGCACTCAGTGAACATATATGAAAGAGATAAAAGCAAGAGATGAAGAGTTAGTAAAAGAAGCCTACAACTGAGAACATATTGTTATTGGAATAATCAGATATAATACCTTTACAGGAAAAGGAATAACAACAAAAGACATATATCATGCTACAGCTACAGAACTTTATATGGTCATCACTCATCACGATAACTATAAAATAGGCATCCAAACTAATGTAGACATTTTCCTATAACCAAATTTTGCAGAAAGAGAGCTGTAGATGAAGCCATAGCAAGAGCGTTGTCATATAACGGCATCCTCCAAAAGAAATTTCAAGCAAAGCATTTAAAACATAGAAGAGAGAAGATAATAAATCCGTGTGACAGGTGATAGAACTCAATAGCATATCTGTCATTTATAAATTTAAGATAAATCCAAGAGACATGCACACCTCAAAAACAATTTTCTTGATTTCACTTGTTATGGTCAATATGTCTTCAGAAAGGGAATTCTCTTCTTCCATCAATCTGAAATGATTCATTGCTACGGTTAAGAGAAACTGAAAGCAGTACAAGGCAAAATATATACAGACTATCTGGAATGGGCACATTGATGAACAATAAGAAAATAACCTTGTAAAATGTAAATTGGCCACAACAACTTCATCTTCTAGTCCTTTCAGTCTTTCTTCCATCTCACATTCTTCAGCCTTCCAGAAATGACAAATACAGTATAAGTCACATCCTATCGCTGCTTGGCATAAGTAATAAAATCAAATCTGCATGCCCAACAATCAAATCATAATGCAATTTCACATTCATATTAAGAAAGACTTAAGAGCCCCACTATGGTATCAAAAGGCATGGTACCTAACAACTTAATAACCAATCAATTGGTATTTCATTCAAATTCACCTTGGATTCTGATTGGTAAAACTCCTTTAGGTACCATACAAAATTGCCAAGATTAAAATGTCATTTCTTAGTAGATGTTGTGACACTAAATGTGTCATTTCTGTCAATACATATCAATATAGGCTATGCATATTGTACCGGGGTTTCATGATTAAGTTCTAAATATCATCTTGTTGAACACCAATGGATCATTTATAGCTGAACCTGACATATTGAATCAATTTAAACAGTTATGCTAAATTGTTCATATTGCATTATGGTCTCATAATTAAATTCTATAACCCTTTCTTGTATAACTCTGATAGATACAAATAATTTATAGCTAGACCTCAATGGCTGAGTCAATTAAGACAATATCTTGACCAAATAGCTTGTCTTGAAAAGTAAACCAAGACTGTCAAAACTTCCCCTTAAGCAAGTTCCAGATCACTTTGCCTGGAAGGAACTAATGTAATAATCCGATAACAAAACAAAAAATAAATAGGCCTTGAACATAACAAAGACCCCCTCCCCCAATCAAAACCGGTAGCATTTCAAGAATCTCATCAAGAACATATAGAAGGCACAAAGAATCTCACTACTATAAACACTTAAACAAGTGAGAAATATCTTGACCAAATAGCTTGTCTTGACAACTAAACCAAGACTGTCAAAACTTCCCCTTAAGCAAGTCCCAGCTCGCTTTGCCTGGAAGAAATAATGTAACAATCTGATAACAAAACAAAAAATACATAGGCCTTAAACATAAGAAAGACCCCACCAATCAAAACCTGTAGCATTTCAAGAATCTCATCAAGAACATATAAAAGGCACAAAGAATCTCACTACTAGAAACACTTAAACAAGTGAGCAATATGCATCACCTAGGATCTTCAATCAAAACAAATTAGCTCACAATCAAAGAATCATTCATGAATTATCATCTTGTAATTGTTAAATCTGATGTTCCTTCAGCTTCCAACTATACATTCAACAGTTCCCGCTAGCACACTAAACAAGAGTGTCCTTGTAATTAGCCCCAAATAAATCCTTATTAAATTGTAATGAACATATAACAAAAAATAGAATCAAACTCAACCTTACAGGGAAGATTTACAACCTTATTAGGAGTTGCAATAACTGGATAAATAGGGGCACTCACTCTAGAGGCCCTGCAAACCTCCAGAATCAAAATTGCCCACTCCAGAATGATCCAACTTCCAAGAAAACTAGAAATACCTGTGTGCCACCGCAGATTCCACCCAATATACAAACATAAAAATCGTTTCATTCTTAATTATTTAGGAAATGCTTCAAGACATCTTTCTTCATCTCAATGACTCCTTGTATTACTTAGCATCACTAGTATCATTCATTGTTTTAAAAGTCAGTGAGATGAGGCAGAGCCAAACTGCCTTGCCTCAGCTGCCTTGTGGCAAAAGGCAGATACCTCATCAAAATAGCATCGAACTTAAGAGCATATTAATGTAAAATACTTTGCAAAATTGAAGAAAACTTGGTTGGTTACAAATAAAATAAAACAATTTACACTCAAAAAATCTCTCATAGTATATCTCTCTCTTAAACCAAAAATCTCTTCACTATTTTCTTACTTAATTTAATAATCCTAATGTGCAACTCTATGTCTCGATGTACTGTATGTGAGAATAGCATCTCCATTGTTATGTTCACCCATGATACATGACATGGGACTGACCAACCCGAAACTAAAAATGGTAGTAATGAATTTTCTTTAAACCAAAAAATAAATAAGAAATTATCAACACAATAAAGAAATTGAGCAAAATTATTAAGTTCTTTTTATCCACTCTCACTTAGAAGCCATTTAGTTCCAATAAAGAAGTCGTATATGATGAAAAAATATTCATTTGAACACTTTATAAAATTATTTACACTGAAAATTAGAATAAAATGCATGTAAATTGAGTAAAGAGATTATTTTATTAAGGTAGAAAAGTTTATTAATATAAAATAAAATTTCAAAAACATAGAACTCATATTAAAACGAATATATATATAAGATAAGTAAATATAAATTGGCCAATTAAAAATAAATTGTACCCAAAATGCATAAAAAATTACAAATAAACTTACTAATTTAGTAATATATAAATGAATAAACTAACATCTACATAAAAGTACAAAAATATTCAATTTATGTAGATAAGCTTAGATGTTGAAAACAAAGTTTCTAAACATAATATTCATATTAAAAAGAAAATATATAAATTGGTTATAAAAAAAACAAATTGTACTCAAGCATATTAAAACTATAATAAATAAACATATTGGACATTGCACTTATATGCATAATGACTAAAAAATTATATGCAGATCAGAATTTTAAGAAGGAAGGTAAAATCTGAACCTTTAGATTAGAATATTAGGTCATGCTAGGTTATATATTTGATAGGAGAAAGGAGACAACTTTAGCTAAGTGTCTCACTTTCAATAAACATTAGAGGAGAGCAGACCTTGGAGTATCCAAACTGCCTGATTTGCTCTCTTGTGCTGGAGACAGCTAATCATATTTTTCTGCACTGCTTCTTGGCTAGGATTTGGGGTCCCTTGCTTGCTACCTTTGGGTGGATTAAAAAAGAGAAAATTCCCTGGCAAAAACCAAAATCCGCTAAACAAAATTTTATTATTTGTCTTGATTAATTAAAGAAAACAATGACAACACTTCAAATATGGTACATCCAAGAAGTAGATTTAAGAAAGAGAGTAGAGAGAAGAGAAATGGTGAGAATGGAAAAATCAGTTAAGAGAGGGAAAACTTCTTGGGGTGCATACACCTCTCTCTCTCTCTCTCTCTCTCCTCTCCAACCGTCATCTTTTTCGGGAGGGCGAGCTCCCTCGAACCAGCTCATCGGCCACCCAGAAAGAGCAGGGTCTTAACAATTGGTATTAGAGCCTAGCTACGATGCCGACCACCAGATCCTCGTCTGCAGAGGAACGTATTGACCACATAGAAGGTGAAGTCCGCCAGACCACCAGTGAGTTGAGGGAAATCAAGGAGACTCTCTCAGCTCCTGTAGGCTTGTTCGAGCAAATCTCGGTAGGACCCAGAACCCCAAAGGCAGAAGGATCAAGCAGCAGCGGCGCATGGCGAGGAGTGTACCCAGTCAAGGTTGCTAAAATCGACTTTCCTCTGTACTCAGGTGTTGATCCCATCCCCGTTATGTGGTACCAATGGTACCAGAAACCTACCCTCAGACCACCTGGCTAGACCTTACCAAAGCACTACGTGTGAGGTTCGGGCCTTCTAGGTATGACTTATGAGAACTTTAATGAATCACTCTCCCGAGTGAAGCAGACTAGTACGGTAAGAGAATACCAGAAGGACTTTGAAAGGTTAGCCACCCGGGTTCATGGTTGGCCGGAGACAGCCCTAGTGGATTGCTTTATAGGCGGCTTAAGGGATGAGATAAGAATAGAAGTGAACACCATACAGCCGACCACCTTGATGGTGGCAGTGGGCCTGGCCAAGCTCCAGGAAGAAAGGTTGGACAAATTACAGAAGTTGGGGAGGCCAAATGGGCCTTAGGTGGGCTTGAATCAGAAAGAATCTTACCCCAAGATTGACTCAAAACCAGGACCTCTACTAACAGCACCCACCACCACCCAAAACCAGGACCTCTACTACAACAACGATGAAAAGTCCGTTCCTGGCCACAAATGCGAGACCCAACAAGTGTTCCTACTACAAGTAAAAGGGGGAGAGGACCCGGATACCCCAACGGGAGACCCGGGTGTACAACAAATGGAGGTGGTACCGGAGGAGGAATAGTACGTCATATCCCTATAGGCTTTGGCAAGTTATCAGGCCCCCAGGACCGTGTGAGTGAAGGGGCTGATAGCAGGGAAGAGCGTTGTTGTCCCGAATGACAGTGGGATCTCTTTGAACTTTATTACTCCTCGGTTGGCTGATCAACTAGGGTTAGCAGTAGAACCGGTTTCCCAATTTGTTGTAAACGTGGCAAATGGCCACCAAATCACATGTGATGGGAGGTGCAAAGCTATAGAGTTGTGGATTTAGGGGTACCAATTCAAAGTGGGCCTACATCCATTAGAGTCCACAGGGGCTGATATTGTCCTGGGCATACAATGGCTAAAATTGTTGGGCCCAGTGGTGTGTGACTGGACCGAATTGACCATGCAGTTCACCTATGATGGTAAACCTTATACACTGAAGGGGGTTAAGGCCCAGCCCATAGCCACGGGAAGTTTGCAAGTCGTCCTCAAGGCCTGCCAACATGACTCAACACCCTTGCTGATGAACATGGGCTTAATGCATGCTGGGCCCACTCCACTCACAGGAGGTAATGACCCAACTCCAGTTACTACTTCGAGCCTATTCGGATGTTTTCCAAGAATCCACTACATTACCACCCCCTCGAGCCCATGACCATCGGATCCCCATCCAACCAGGAGCCCCATCCGCCAATGTCAGACCCTACCGCTACCCCCATTGCCAAAGAGTGGAAGTAGAGCGAATGGTGACAGAGCTGTTAGACAAAGGATTAATTCGGCCCATCAACAATCCATACACATCACCAGTGATTTTGGTGAGAAAGAAAGACGGGAGTTGGAGGTTTTGCGTGGATTACAAAGCCCTGAACTGCATTACGGTCAAGGACGGGTACCCCATACCACTGATTGAAGAATTGTTTGGTGAACTGGGCCAAGCTAAGTATTTTTCAAAGATGGACCTATGGTCAGGCTACCATTAGATCCGGGTCCATCCAGATGACATCCACAAAACTGCCTTCAAAACCTCAGATGGACATTTTGAGTTCCTTGTGATGCCATTTGGGTTGACCAATGCCCCTTCTTCATTCCAGAGGATTATGAACGGAATTTTTAAACCTTACCTGCGTCTCTTTGTTCTGGTGTTCTTTGATGACATACTAGTTTATAGTTCCAGTTGGGCTTCTCACTTGGAACACTTGCAATGTGTGTTAAACTTACTACAGCAGCACCAACTATTTGCTAAGCCCTCAAAATGCTCGTTTGGATATACCCAAATTAGTTACTTGGGCCACATCATTTTTGGAGGGCAGGTAGGCACAGACCCTGAGAAGACTGAATGCATGATCTCCTGGGCCTGGCCCAACTCCCCAAAAGCTCTTAGGGGGTTCTTGGGGTTAACAAGTTACTACCAGAGGTTTATTAAGGGGTATGGAATACTTGTAACACCTCTCACCCAACTGCTTAAAAAGCATTCATTCAAATGGGATCAGAAGTTAGAAGAAGCCTTTCAAGCACTTAAGGAAGCTGTCACCTCACCTCCTACACTAGCTCTTCCTAACTTTGAGCTGGAGTTCATAGTAGAGTATGATGCTTCGGGTACCGGAATTGGTGCAGTCCTGATGCAGCAGGGCCAGCCCTTGGCCTACTTCAACAAGGTCCTCTCTCCGCAAGCCCAAGCCAAGTCCACCTACGAGAAGGAGCTTATGGCTATCGCCCTAGTAGTCCAAAAATGGAGAGCTTACCTGTTGGGTCGGCGGTTCATTGTCAGGACTGACCACCGCATTATCAAGCACTTATTGGAGCAACGAGTTTTGGGCCTTGACCATCATAAATGGGCCTACAAGCTGATGGGGTATGATTTTGCTATTGAATACAAGTCGGGACCTTCTAAGGCAGTAGCAGGCGCCCTCTCTAGAGCTGAAAGCATGTGCTTATTGGGCCTGTCTCGGCTGAGCTACCCATTGTCATCACAACTAAAACAGGAAGCCCAGGACAATCCCCAATTAACCCAAATACGGGCCCAGGTCCTGAGTGGGATAGAATACACTCTATGGCAACCAAGTGAACATCCTTGATAACATGCATGTACAAACAATTATTACAACATATAAATCTCTAGCCGACTCATGCACATGTATGATAACCTTCCAACCCAAAATAGAAGCATCCCCTTGTTTGCTTGTCTTCAAGTATCTATCCATCTGAAGCTAATAAATGGGCATGCCCACAGATTTCACACCAGTATGCTTGTATCCTCCAAAAACTCCAGGGCCTCCAGAAAACATGCCACGCATGGATCGAACTACCTCAATGCCTAGAAAATACCTTAGTACTCACGTCTTTAATTTCAAATAAAATTCTAAGGAAGAACATCAGCTGCTCAATTTTTTTTTATCAATAACAACCTTTTATTAAACTTTCAATATAGAAAGAAGTACAGAGGGAGGGGTAAATTCTCTTAATCCTCCCCAAAGAAAAATAATTCAATTACAAAATGCCCAAAAACAGTTGTTCCCTTCCCACCCCTTGTTTAGCAAGGGTATCGGAAAAAGAATTAGCACACCTCTTAATCTACTAAAACTGAATCTCCACATCTTGTGCTAGCCGATTGAACATTCTTTTTTCATTAGAAAACTTCCAAAGACCTTTCTTTTCTTCTTGAAGCCATCCTATAACCAACTTTGAATCCCCCTTTTTTTTCATGAATGATAATAAATTTATTAATTCAGAAGCAGATTTAGAGTGAGTTCATACAACATCCCAGGGAGAGGTGCGAGCTGCAGCCCCTTCTTGAATCTTACAAGTAAACTAGGAAACAAAAGCAAGAATCACAACTGAGCCCAAAACAATTCTCCCCTATTTACCCCTCGCTTGGCTAACACATCTGACAAAGTATTTGCTGATCTCCCCACCCACTATACAGTGACCAACATATTCCTTGTCAACCAACTAAATTTCTTCATTTCATTCTTGTAACACCACATAGCCTCTTCAGGATTTTTCAACCAACCCACCACCACTTTGGAATCCCCCTCGATTGTTAGGTGTTGTACCCCCATTCCGGATAATCCTGGATTTCCCATGCTACTTCCATCAAAGTTCAACTTCAGTGAGCCTTCGGATGGAGGAGACCATCCCTTCAACAAAAATCCCCTTCAATAATGAGTTTGCTGCAGCCCAGCTCCCTCGCCTTCTTAATTCCTTCATCACAGCCAGAATCTCAGCTCATAGAGAATCGCCCACATCAGCTGCTCAATTTCAGCCCAATTATTTTTCTATCACAACAGTATCATCTACATACCCAATTTCGGCCAAGTTCATTATATGATTTATGTATCATGGAGCACAAATAAAATACCACATATGATAATGTGACTGCACCGCCCTTTTCTTGCCTAAGAATGCACCAAAAATGTATGCAAAAAGGTGCAATGTAAAAGCAGCCCCTAGAAAGGAATTGTCACTTAGACACCCACCTAAGCATCATCTTGATCATTTTGAAGGTGGTGATGCATGTCAGTACTTCAACCAATGAAAAAAAAAGGATTAAGGATACAAGTTCCTTCATAGTGGTTGCACTCATGCTTTGCAATTACAATATTAGTGCACATTTCACCATGTAGAAATTGTGAAATTTCACTGATATTTCACTAAATTTGCTAAGATATTTGGAAATTCTAAAAACTCAAGAAAGTTTTCTAGAAACACATAATTAGTTAATAAACCTTCATGAAATCATTACAAGTATAATTGCACATTAAAGCTCAAAAACTATAGCAAAGAACTATATAAATCGACTAGGAGAAAATTAACAGACTAATAGGTATCTTTCTCTGTGTCTCCCTTTTAGTCTTTTAGACATCTTCTCTTCATTAAATATGTTACTTTTTTATCAGCTTAAATATGTCACTTATTTTCCATTTTGACTTTTGTCTTTTTTGGTAACTACATGTTTTGGTTAGATTGAAAATACACTTTAGTAGTTATATGCATCTTTCCTTTTTCTTTTGAACCTAGTAAGTGAATAATATCAAAATAGTAAGCCAATTTTTTATTGGAAAAATAGTAAGACAATAATCTAATAACCAATTCCCCATTAATTTTTTTGGGGAAACATTTTAAAAAAAAAATGTGATGATTTTAATGAAATATCGAAAAGTGTTTAATAATATTCTAAAATTTTAAACATTAAATATATAGTTTAACAATGAAACCTGAAATATCGCCAACATATCAGCAAAATATCAGAGATATTTGGAAAAAAATATTCCCTGAAAGTTTCGCATTGTCACCTAGCAAAATGGGGATATTTCATGGAAATCTTGCTAAATATCACCAATACTTGCACTTACTCTTCATTCAGGAAAAGAAATAGTTTACTATTTTAGTTCAAGGAAGAAGATATTATCCCTTCAAGTGAGAATAAACTACAAAATCTAGTTTTAGTCAAGTTTTTCTAGCATTTTAGTGACTAATCATGTATGGACTGAAAAATTGTAATATGCAAATGTCCCTAAGCTCTAAAATGAATGAAAAGAAAGTAAGCTGCATAAAGCAATAAAAGATGACAGTTAAAATATCAAGTCGGAGATGCACAAATAGAACAAGGAGTTGCAATTTTAGAATTACTAAACCTAACAAAAAAAGAGGTACTGTAATTCACAAGTCAAAAAGAACAGCAACCTGTGTATTTTTTACATGTTGCTCCTGAATATCAGAGATTTGTTGCTCAAGCTTTTGAACATCCTTGACCAGGTTATTAATAAGGTTAATTTTGCGCTTCTGTTCCTCCTCTAGTTCAAGCCTCTTTTTTGTAGCCTAAGAAGCAGCATTTGCATATGTAATATAAGAATCCATAACTGTAAGATTCTAGGGCTTATCAAGAAAAGTTTGCAGACAACTTTACAAGTTAAAGACAACCAAGATGACAACAAACTAAACAAAAAATTATAATAGATACAAAGTGGAAGTGGATAGAATCAACATGCATGAGTAGAGCATCATCTGACGGATTGCCAAAGGTGGAATATCAAGAAGTGATATTCCAGGCCAAGGCATCCTTGTTTCTCTGTTATTGTTTTCCCCTTTTTGGTGGAGTTCTGGGGTTGAGTCTATTTTACAGTAATATCATTTATAGATGCAATTTAATATTATTGCTCTCTGGATGATAATTTGAGTAGATGGCATCACATAGACATAGATTCTTCAACAAGGTGAAACATTATCCCCATGGCTCCGCTCCGCACCCCCTGTAGCTGAATCTGATGGTTGCTTGTTAGATGTAGACAATAGTCAAAAAGGGTACTTATGTGACTTGCCTACGAAGAGTAGGGATATTTTTGTCAGTCTCTTTCTGCTTAAGGGTAAAAAGGCCATTTCAATGGCTGAGTTCTTATTCTACATTAATTCTTTTCTCTTCCCCTCCTCTGTTATTCCTCCTTCCTACTTTACACTGTCATCTTTATTTTTTCTCATTGATCAAAACCTTGGTAACAGAGCAAGTGAAAATAATTCTTCCTCTAATGATTCTTTTCATCTGTGCACATGAGGAAGACCTTATGACTCCAGTTAGTGGCATAAAGGTAGAGTAAGAGCACTGACCAATTGTGTTCTATCTTGGACCTAATTTTTAGAGATGCTTAAGTGATTTTTTTAGATTCTTATTCTGCCTGCGTATGTTAACCTAGAGAGGATCTTCAGAAGTTTTCCAGAAAAACCGGTTAGGCTTGTAGATTAAATCTAGTCAGGCTGGCTATGAAAGTTTGATCCAGAAGATATTTCTTGAATGCCAGAATCAATCAGTGAGTGATTTGAAAGAATTGAAGGTTATGTGAGGATCCCGGCGCCTATGTTTTACCACTGCCCATAACTAGTGAGATAGAATTTGTAGGAGGAAGTCTCCCTATGCTTCAGGTGATACCTAGGAAAGATTGCTGCTACTAAGCTATATTCTTTTGTCTTGGGGTGGTTGTTTGGGTGGATTCTTGGCAATAAGCAGTTGTTGGTGTTATCTTTTTTTAATTGTTAAGGTGACCTGTTGATACAGAATCCAGTAGTGCTAGTTCAAGTTCCATGGTATAGGAAGCAATTTTGGTACTTGATCCTATGCACATACCCATCACTTCTAAAGCTTGATGGTACAAATACCAATGGGCTCAATTGAAAAAGTTTAGAATAGGTGGACCCGTCAAAGAGAAAAAAAAATGGGATACTTGACTGAAAAGGAACCTAAACCAGATAATGACAATCCAAAATATGCTAAGTGGGAGCAAGAGAATCTTCTGGTAATGTCATGGCTTGTGCTTTCCATGTAGCCATGCATAAGTAGAAATAGTTTATTCTTGCCTACAGCAAAGGCAATTTGAGATAAAGTGAAGGAGACTTATTCCCACATATTACTGGTTTCTTTATTTAGTATCTAATACATGAGAAAACAGCAACTCTGCATATGTACTAGAAGTATTGAGTTGAAGAATATTAACACATAAAGCGCATACAGGTAAGGTTATCGTCAATTAATTTTCACTTTTTCTAGGTTTTTCATTTCATCTATTCTCTTATTAATCTACTCATTTTGCATGTGGAAATCCTAATATTATTGAAACGTCTTCAGTAGATGTTCAAGACTGCTATCAGCCTTGAACCCTAATAGATTTCAGGTTCGAAAAAGGAGAAAAAGGTATAGAGGAGAGGGGAGAAAGAGTAGAGAGAGAGTGGGACCACAGCTGTGGGGCCCACATCAGTGTTCTCTACACTCCCCCTCAAGTTGGGAATAAATGTTCATCATTCCCAACTTGGATACATCCGCCTCTAGCTTCTTTCTTGATACGGCTTTGGTGAGGATATCTGCTAGTTGCATACTGGATGTGATGTAAGGGAGGCATACTTCTTGAGATGAGACCCTCTCTCGTACAAAATGTCGGTCAACTTCAATGTGTTTCGTTCTGTCATGCTGCACTGGATTATGTGCTATATTAATAGTTGCTTGATTATCACAATACAGCACCAGAGGCTTCTCATACTCAATACCCAACTCCTCAAGTAGAGATCTCAGCCATAGGATTTCAACCACTCCGTTAGCCATTGACCTGTATTCTGCTTCGGCACTAGATCGGGAGACAACACTCCGTTTCATACTTCTCCAAGAGACAATATTACCTCCCACAAGAGCACAATATCCTGAGGTAGACCTTCTATCATCAACACTCCCAGCCCAATCGGCATTCGTATAGACCTCCCACCTTCATGTGGTTATTGTTCTTGAACAGTATACCCCTACCCGGGCATCTCTTCAAGTATGCTAATATCCTTTCTGCCGCAAGAAGATGTGTACTTTTAGGAGAATGCATGTACTGGCTGACAACACTAACAGCATAAGTAATATCTGGTCGAGTGAGGCAGAGATATAGGA